ATTCTCAACAAAAGATCTAGCCAAAATCTTTCTATTTTGAATTTTCTAATCGAAGCTTTTATTTAGCTTTGTATTATCGTGGTTGGATTTGTGCAAATCATAGCAGGACCGAAAGATCTATGCCCTATACATGGGTGCCTAAATTATTTTTGAAAAATCGTATTTTCAGCAAACATTTCGGCATTGCTAAATTTTTTATATAAACCCCTTTGAAATAACTATATTATTTGATGTATTTTGATGAAAAGAGTTTAAAAAATTTTGGCAATAATTTCAGCAATTTAAAAATTAATTTCGGCACTATATAAGAATAATTTCGGTATTCTAAATGCTGTAATTACTTTTTTATTAAAATAGACAATTTAGGCACCCATATATACCCTGTCTCAACAAATTTAAGAGTAAAAATATTACAATAAGCCTTAAAAATACTTATCTTAGCGTCACAATTAAATCATAAGAAATGTCCAGAATTCTGCAATGCATAAATATACCCACGCTAATTTTTTTTTTCTTTTTTTTGTATTTTTTTATGTATAAAAAAAAAAAAAAAAAAATTCGGTGTGAGAAAATTACATATTGTAGAATTGTAGAATTCTGGATACCAATTCTCCAAATAATAAAGCCTTATAATTAAACAAAAAAAAGGTTTAAATAAGACGATTATAAAAAAGATTTATATAACATTTTTTTGTTAAATAAAACTTACCCCTATAAGCTATTACAACAGCGGCATGTCTTCTAATAAACGAGTAGAAAAAACTTCTCTTAATAACGAACAGAGAAAAGAAATTATTGAGTTCAAAAATAAAAACCCAAATATTAGCCATGTTGATCTTGCTGCATGGATAAAAGAAAAATTTAATCTTGAAGTCCATTCGACTACTATTGGATGTTTAATAAAAAATAAAAACAATATTGGCGATGATCCTTCTAAGAAAAGACAAAGAACAGTTCATTACCCAGATCTTGAAAATGCATTACTTGAATGGGTTCTATAATATCAAGATAAAATTATAATAAGTGATTTAATTTTAATTGAAAAGCAAAAACTTTTGCTAAAATGTTAAAAATACCTGATAGTAACCTTAAGTTTTCATATGGATGGTTATTCAAATTCAAAAAAAGACATGATTTAGGAAAAATAAAAAAGCATGGAGAAGATTCTTCTGTAGATGATAATGTAGTTGCAATAGCCATTCCTCTATTAAGAGACATTCTAAAAGAATATGATTTAAAAGATATTTACAATATAGATGAAACAGGGCTATTTTATCGGTATATAACAATAAATAAGTGACGCTAAGGGAAAATCAGACTTCGATCAGTATGATCGAAGTCAGATTTTCTCTTGGTATCACCCAAATCAATACTTATTAATTCCTTCTTTTTTTCTTTCATTGGTTAGTCTTAAGCCGGATACTATGCTAGCAACTACTCGTCTTAAGGATAAAAAAAAGGATAAAGAATGGTTAACTGTGGCACTTTGTGCCAATGCTAATGGGACTAATAAATATAAGCCCTTTGTAATAGGTAAGTCACCCAACCCAAGATGTTTCAAACGTATCAAACGCAACAGGCTTGGTGTCACATATGAGTCAAGTAGCAAGGCATGGATGATGACTGTGTTGTTTCAAAAGTGGCTTAAAGAATTCGACTTGAAAATGGCCAGCCGTAAGGTAATTCTTTTAGTAAATAATGCCAGGTGCCATTTTTCCAGTACTTTAAATCTTCACAACACCACCGTTAACTATATCCCTCCAAACACAACATCTCACATACAACCTCTGGATGCCAGCATAATCATGTCTTTTAAGCGTCGTTACAAAAATTATTTCATAAAATGGTTGCTTGATCAGTATGAAGCTGGAAAAAATGATAAATTAAATGTTCTTAATGCCATAAAGTTTATTATTCAAGCATAGAAAGAGGTGTCATTAGAAACAGTACGTACATAAACAGGATAAGTTATAGTAAACCTTAAAAAAAAAATTATTAGAATGCAGTAGTTGAATTAATTAATAATAGAAGAATTAAATTAAATAGCATACTGTATCGTCGTGAAATAATGCTCTGGGGCATTATTTCGCGATAATATGGTAAATAATTTATTAAAATATTAATTTTGTTAAAAAATAATTTCACCTTATCTATAGGTATATAATTGCTTTCGGCACACAAAGATTCTTTTAGTTCAAAGTAACGAAGAGCCTACTAATGATGATAATGATAATGAGTTAATGGAAGAGATGAAAGCGGATATTGAAGCACTTAATTTTTGAAATAAGATAGATCTTGAAGCCTACATTAATTACCCGGAAGAGGAAGATACAAATGAAGCCTTAAATGATCAGGAAATCTTAACTTTAGTCACTAACATAGAACCTGAGAAAGATCTAAATGAAGATGACAATAGTGAAGAAGATGAAGACGACAGTAAAGAAATCTCTCTAATTACCCACCACGAAGCGTTAAATGCTATAGAGGTGCTAAAACAATATCTTATACAGCAGGATCTAAGTGATATAGCCTGGTTGAATCACGGCCAAGCATTATTAAATTTGCAAAAGGCAATAAGAAAAATTCGAAGCGTGTCTTTTAAACAAATGAACCTTGAAAACTTCTTTCAAATCGACCAATTGACTGAGTAACAAGTAAATTAGTAATTTTTTGGGAGTTAGAAATCATAAAATATAGCTTGATCAGAATAGACAATACGTAGATCATAGAATTTATTTTATATATAAATGAATAAATTATAGGTTAAGGGTTATAATAAATAAAATAAATAAATAAAAAAAAAGAAAAAAGAAAAAGTAAACTTGTAAAAAGAACTGGTAGAAAATCTAAAACAATATTGCGATAGAACTAATAATTATGTGTCACATAACAAAGATCTTCAGCAATCTTATTGGCTGTTTGCCCCCTAAATATACGCATTGAAGCTGGTCCCGATGACGTGCATTTAGGGGGTCTGACTGTATTATACTTTTTTTTTTTTTTTATATATCTACTCTCAAACTAATTTCGGATATAAGACTTAAACTACTTTATCTGTAACCTAAACCTGTCATAGTATTCTATATCCCACCTATGTCTTTACTTGGTTTTTGTACTTCACAACTAACTAATTCTAGTTACCTCAATTTGGTTTATTTGGATTATCGGTCCTCAAATTGGTATGCTTGTAACAGGAATGAAACCCACATCTACAAACTCTCCATATCTATCATTCTACTGTTTCTTACCTATATCTACAGATCTTAATGTTCCTTTTTTAGTATTTCATATACTGTATATTTTTTTTATTCTTTATGTATTCCTTTTTATAGTATTCGTTAAGAACTTGTTTCAAGATATATCTCTTTCAGCTATAGACCTTTGTTATACATATTGTGTAACTTCCAGCTTGAGGTATCTCAACCCTGATTGGTGTGGTATTTATACTGGTATATTCTTAACTCTTTTCATTATAGACTTCTATATATGTGCGATTAGAGCCCAATTTGGTTCTTTTAGTTATACAAAGACAGGTTACACTCTCTACGCTGAGTAACTTTTTTAAATTGATTGTTCTGCAATGCCAGAGGTGCTTTCAATTCTAGTTAAGATATGATCCTTTACCACAGCCTATAGTTATGTATTATTACTTCTCTCATTACTTCAGTTTTTAGTTACTGTTATATCACCCTTTCAAGCAAATACTTCACAAGTTAGATGCAAAGATGTTGGTACTGCCTCCAGGTCACCTCAACTGGAGGACTAATTCGCATGATCTTTATGTAACCTAACCTTTTATGGTACTGCACTATATGTAGTATCTACACTCCATGATCTGGTCTCTTTCTAAGAACTTCTTATTCTGGTTTTATACTGCACTTGGACTTTCTATAGAGCTTCGCATTCGATTTAATAGTTTCTGTAGGTTACAGAAGCAAATTTTATTAAAATTTGCTTCCAGCCTGACTTGAACCATTGACCTAGTCTGTGGGGTTTGGAAGCTTAACCACTAAGCTATGAGACCCAAATCTATATAAATATATTTTTAAAAAAGTTATATGTTTATTTGTTTGTTTATTGTTGTAGTTTTTCTTTAGTTATATATTTTTTAGTTAGATTTTTTAGAGTTAAAGGTGACTATCTATTTTTTCAAAATTTTTTCATTAAATTTTTCATAAAAATCTTCAATTTGCTATCAGTTTGTTTTTATATTAGTTGTTATTCTTAATAAATTATATTATCTTATTGAGATAAAGCTTTTCCTTTAATATACTAAAAGATATTTTTTATATCATTAATAGAGTTATCTTTGTGTTTGGTTTTATTGATTTTGAAAGTAAGGATCAGCAGTAAGAATTATTGTTTTTAAATTAATAATTATATTGCTAAACTAAAATCTATATTAAATTCTAAAATTATATTTTATTATAATTATATATGATTCTTATAATAATATATTTATTATCAGAATGTGGCGACTTAGTGAAGTAGTGAAATTGTCACACTTTCAAGTAGTTGAGTACAAGTTCAATTCTCACAAAGAGCAAAATTTGAATTTAGAAAAAAATGTATTCAGCAACTATTATTATGACTGGGAAAACTTAAGCATATGCTCTGATTTTTGGAATTGGGCCTTTTTTAGAACTCTAAATTATATATCAACTAATTATTTTACACCCCAAAATTGGTTATCAGCTGATCTTTTTTTTTATTTCAAATTACTTGCAAAACAAAATTTTATATAGTCGAACGTGTCAAACCAATTTCCCGTCCTTAAAACCAATTTGTTATTTTTAGGATTCCGGTAAGTAAGAATAAGCTTTATATAATCATATATAATTTATATTATAAATTAAATTAATTTTATTTTAATATAGATTTAATGTTAATATGGCAATTAATAATCCATGTTTTGATTCAAATATTTCTATTAAGCCAATAGTTTTAATTACAAACAATCCTTTAGAGCAAACGTTTGAGTATAAAACTTGTGAAATAAAATATAAGACAAAAAGAGGCCTTAGTTATCCCCAAAGTATTGTACGAAAGTATAATATTCGTCGCGATGGATTATGTGTACTACTAATAGAAGCAGTTAATCAATTTAAGAAAGATCTGATCTTTATTATAGGCAGTAAACTTAAAGCGCATTTTTCACAATTAGGCAAACAAACACTTTCATTTCCCTGTCTTGAAAGTTTATTTTTCGAAGTTTTTAAGGGTTATATTCATTATCTTAATTGAAAAAATAATAGCTACAAGTGCTTTTTTCATGGACCAGATGCTTACATGCAATTGGCTAGTATATTTAATAACAATTAGAATTGGAGACGTAAATTTTTTGAAAATGATCAACAAATATTTGTTTTACTATTCGATGTACAAGGTGAGAAAAAAAATAATAGTAAGAAAAAATTTGAATTTCTGAAACTAACAGTTGAATGGAAAATGAAATACAAGAAAGATGCAAAGAATAATGAAACCTCCGCTGGATTCATGTACTTAAACTTTTATACATTACAGATTTAGAACTATATACTGGTCGTGAAAAATTAAATAAAATAATGTATAGGTTTGAATAAGTATTTTTTATTTATTTCATTTTATTTTTATTTTTTTTTGTTGATATTGGTTGCGAATATTGATGCTCGAACATCTACTATTTTGCTTGTATGAAAAATGGAAACCTCCAAATAGACTGATATTATCAATAATTCTTCCTTTTCGTATAGTTTTAAAACAAATATTATCACAAATAGCTAAGCCATTTTTGACAGTCATCAGCAAGATGCATGCAGCTGAAATTGCTTTATGGATTGATAAAAAATCTGATTTATATTCTGTAACAAACAATCCATATGAATTTAAACTACTTTTTCATAGGACCAGAAATGGTTTTACTCTTGCTTCATATGAATTTAAACCACTTTCTTATAGAACCGAAAATGGTTTTACTCTTGCTTTATTTTGAGATTTATGTAATAATCAAACGAATGTTGTAGTTGCAAAGGTTAAATACACTGACGAAATTCTTGATAGATACAATCCTATTGGATGGGACAAGCTGATTAATGAAGAAGATACATATAAGGATTGTGAAGGGTGCTTTATTTTTTATAGTAGTATTCAAAATTTCATTTTAAGTCGTATAAAAGATCAATATATACAAGTTTTTTGTGCTTATATTCCGGATTCAAGGTATAGTTAAATAATACATTGAAACCAATTTTTAAGCAACGATTTTAAATAATATAATAATGTAACAAACAATCCATATGAATTTAAATTACTTTTTTATAGATCCAGAAATAGTTTTACTATTGCTTCATTTTGAGATTTATGTAATAATCAAACGAATATTGTAGTTGTACTGACGAAATTCTTGATGAACACAATCCTATTGGATGGGACAAGCCGATTAATGATGAAGATATATATAAAGATTGTGAAGGATGCTTTATTTTTTTATGGTAGTATTCATTCCATTTTAAGTCATGTGAAAAATCCAAGATATACAAGTTTTTTGTGCTTATACGTCAGATTCGAGGTATGGTTAAATAATACGTTAAAACCAATTATAAAGTAACGATTTTAAATCATATGATAATATAACAAACAATCCATATGAATTTAAATTACTTTTTCATAGAACTGGAAACAGTTTTACTTTTGCTTCATTTTGGAATTTATGTAATAATCAAACGAATGTTGTTGTAGTTGCGAAGATTAAAGACACTAACAAAATTCTTGATGGATACAATCCTATTGGATGGGACAAGCTGATTGATGAAGATATGTATAAGGATAGTGAAGGGTGCTTTATTTTTTTTATGGTAGTATTCAAATTTCCATTTTAAGTTGTGTGAAAGATCCAAGATATGCAAGCTTTGTGTGCTTATATTCTGGATTCAAGGTATGGTTAAATAATACGTTGAAACCAATTTTTAAGTAATGATTTTAAATCATATAATAATATAACAAACAATCATATGAATTTAAATTACATTTTCATAGAACTGGAAATGGTTTTACTCTTGCTTCATTTTGGAATTTATGTAATAATCCAATGAATATTGTTGTAGTTGCGAAAGTTAAAGACACTGACGAAATTCTTGATAGATACAATCCTATTAGATGGGACAAGCTGAAGATACTGTTATAGAACAGTTTTATTTTATTAGTTTATTATTTTATCTTAGTATTATTTTATTATTTCGATATTTGTAT